CCATTTGTGAGTGTAAAAGCATGAAGGGTGATGCCGTGTCATTTTCAGAGAGTGTAAAAGCACGAAGGGTGATACCGTGCCAAATGAGAGTAAAAGTACGAAGGGTGGTGTCGTGCCATTTTCATATCATCAGTGGCTCATTTTATTGTTGAGGAATTATTTGGCTGCTAAGTGATCATTCTCCTGCTGAAATTATTATATCAACCCCATTTCGCATGTTCCCTCCCAAATTTATAAAGTGTTATTTATTGTTTTATTGTTGCTTTGTATTTGTATATACTTGTATAGGTTGTTTATGTACGTGTCATGTCATAGCCTATGCACTACTTCGCCAAGGGTAGGCTCGACACTTACGGAGTACATGAGGTCGGTTGTACTCATACTACACTCTGCACTTCTTGTGTAGATTTTGGAGTTGGGTCCTAGTGGCGTACCATAGACTTGCTCGGATTCAACTACCCAGAGGAGACTTGAGGTATAACTGTACAACGTCCGCAGTTCTGAAGTCGCCTTCTATCTTATTTTATTTGTGTATTATCTTTCAAACAGCTTGAATTTTATTCAGACCTTTATTTGTATTATCTTAGTAGCTCGTGCACTTGTGACACCAGATTCGAGGATGTATTTTGATAATTCTGTATTTATGGTCTTCCGCTCTTTATTTCATTAATTGAATTCTATTTAAATTAAATTGCTTAAAAATGGTTTAGATTATTTTAAACGTTGGCTTGCCTAGCAAGTGAAATGTTAGGCGCCATCACGGTCCTGAAGGTGGGAATTTTGGGTCGTGACAGGTGGAGCCCAAGAGCTTTGATACGAAGGTTAGGGCTAAGCAGCCTTCTCTTGGTACTCTCTCAGCCTTTCTCCTGGTACTCTCAAAAGGACCCAAGGAACCCGAAGAACAAGGGTAAGTCGACTACTACCGTAGGCCAGTCTAATGAGCCGTCGGTGGTAGTTGCAGATTCTGCTGCTATGCCTTCTACAACTTCCATGCCTTCCACAGAAGTCGGGCCTTCCACCGAGACAGCTGCCATGCCACCACCTCCAATTTCAGGGCCATCAGCATCAGTATCAGTGCCTTCATCATCCACTTATCCACTCACTGCGCTACGAGTTTCAACAACTGGATGCAGACAGCTACTGCAAAGATGTTTGACCTATCCAGTGTTGTTGCAGCACAGTCTTCTGCCTTAGCACCCTAGGTTCCTCCGTCACTGGAGGAAACATTGAAGAAGATATTGGATAATCAGAAGACCATCATGAATACCTTGGTGGCACATGGAGGAGCAATTGAGGAGCTACGTAAACAGGTGAAGAAGATGAGAAAATCCCAGGCCTCAAGAAAATCAATGGACAAGTTGAGACGTGAAGTGACCAAGATAGCAGCAGCTGGTGATCTTCCCTTTGACTTACTGATGGAGACAGATCCATCAGTACCAGTAGACCCAGCAGCACCATCAGTTCCAGTGGCACCAGCTGGCCAGTCTGAGGAGCCAGACCTCGCTGTCCACACAGCTGAGGCGGTGCTATAGATGTTCACCAACCCAGCTACTCCCCGAGCAGAGGATGATGAAATCCATTTGGAGGAGCCCGAGGGAGGTGATGCTGCTATGGACACTGAGACCACATAGGGAGTCCTCTCTAATTTTTCCCTTCCTTATTTTGATTTTTGTTAACCATTGAGGACAATGCTTATTTTTATTCAGGGGGGTGGTCTATTTTGATTTGATATGACATTTGACATTAGCCTGTAATAACTGATAACATTCTATTTTTATTTTTACTTTCATTATGTACATATTCTTCTCTCTATTGATGTATATATTCTCTTTCCCTTTCTCAGTTTGTATATTCATTTATGCTTTCAGTAGTTTACTTCATAGCTTCTTTATTTTGTTTTCTCAATAGGCAATGTTTAGTATAATAGCTTCTTATTTACTTTAATAGCTTCTTTTTAATTTAGTAGTTTATTTTCATGTTTAAGTGATTAATAAGCCTTTGCTTTTCTTAATGCCACGATTCTTTCCAACGGTGGTTTTTGTGTGAACCGGGTGATTCTTCCCAACGATGGATGGTGTGACAATTTTTTTAAGGGATTGAGTCCGTTTTTTATGTTTAGGTAAGAACAATAGTAATAATGAATAAGAGGACCTAATTGAGTCGAACTAGAAGAGTCAAGCATGCTTCACTTGGTACCAACACACTTAACTACATGCTTATGATTAAAAACAAGTTCTTGGAAAAGAAATAGCTCTAGTTAGTGACCTTGTGACTCTTGCATTGACTTAGGCAATCATCGAGTGGTTTAGTTGAACCATTAGTGATTTTCAATCTTGAATACGGTTGTTGTGGGCCCTCTACTCTATCCTCTTTAACAATCCAGCTGTGTGAGAGGTGAGATGTTTCGTTGCAAGTCCAAGTACCCTTGTGAATGGTCTAGAACTTGCCCCGAATGTATTTCTAGGCAAAATTTTAAGTTTTGCTTGGCTTGAGAAGTGATTGTAGGCTCTTCTTGACCCATTTTGAAATTTTCCATGGACCATCAATGATGTTATCCCTAGTCAACCCTTTTGAGCCTAAAGCCTTTCTCATTTGATAACCATGTTACAAGCCTTTACTCATTTTGTAGTTACCCTCTCTTGGCACCCGAGCTTTTCTTAACACTCATGAGAAGAAATTGGCGAAAACATAAGTTTGGGGGAGAGATGAGGAGTTTGAAAGATCAAGGTATAAAAAGAGAAAAGAAATGAAGAAAGGGGAAGGCAAAGAAAAAAAAGAACAAAAGAAAAAATATAAAAAGAAAGTGAATAAATTGAAGAGTTAAAGAGATTCAAAGAAAAGCAAAAGTGCAAAGCATGGGGGAAATAAAGAAGGAAAAAAATGAATATCATGACCAAGAAAGAGTGATGTCAAGTCTCTCTAGTTCCCCTAAGTAAAAAGAAAATGACTCAAAGAGTCGGCAAAGCATGTGCCAAAAAGAGATAATTAAGTGCTTAAGGAAAGACGAACTACCAGTCCTAACATTTCCTACCAGTCCAAAAGCCTTCATTACATTCCAAAAAAGCCCTACGTGATTTCAAGCCGAGTGAACTTACATTAGTGGTGATTTACATGAGGGGCAAGCATATGGTACTTAAAGCCATACTTGTGACATTCTTTTGAGAGAGATGAGCAAACGTTTCACAAATCCTTGAAGTGAGTGCTACATTCTTAAGTAAGATAAGCTAACGGAGAGTAGAGGAGGAGAAGTTTGAGATCCAAAGTGACGTACATGAAAGAGCGAACTTCCTTGATGAGTAAGTCAACTCTTAATGCTCAAGTGTCACATTAGAACTATTTGTGCTTAAAACTTCAAATCATTGCCTTGTTGATAATTCATAAGTGTCGTGGGTAATTGTTGGTCCCAATTGATGTGTGTTTGATTCATCTTAGATTAGCTGGAATAGCTCTTTTCTTGTGGAGGTGGGAATTACCTTATTTGCTTGAGGACAAGCAAAAGCTTAAGTTTAGGGAAGTTGATTATTGGGAATTTTGACTACTTATTTGCGCCTTTTGACTTTTGTTTTAGTTCAAAAATGTTTAAAGGTATTCCCGAAAACTGATGAAATATGCTTACTTGCAGGAGTATTAAAAAATAAGCCATTACGATGAAATCAAACTCAAGAGGAGTGCTTTTGAACAAGGACAAAAATAAAGCACAAAAAAGCTAACGTGCGGACCGCAGAATTTTGTGTACAGCCGCAGAACATAAAGAATAATTAACAGAGCTGCAATGTATGGTGCGGACCGCACAATAATTGTGCGTCCGTAGAAGTCAAGATTCAGAGAGTTCCAACTCGAAGCCCAGTAAGAACTGTGGACTACACTATAATTGTGCGGCCGCAAAAATCAAATGTGCTGCCGCACCTAGAATTGTGTGGTCCGCAGAACTCAAGAGATGCGGCCGCAGTGCAGAATTGTGCATCCACTGATCCAACTCATGTCAAGAGCTGAAGCAAAGTGCGGACCGCACATAGAATTATGCGGCCGCAGAACCTCCGAAAGGGCAATTTTGTCCAAAAATTCCAGCTTTGTATAAATAGACTACTTTCACAAAATTAGGTGAAGTTTTGAGTACCAAAAAGTCTATAGCTGTTTTTCTTTACTCTTTTAGGAAACTTTAGTTTATATTATTGATTTTACATTGGATTTTCATCTATTTATCTTTCAATATGAGTTTTATCATCTTTTCTTCTTTATTTTCTTCATTACCACTATGCGTAGCTAAATTTCTAGCTAGGGTTGTCACCCAACCCTAGTGAGGGAACCTAATGGGTATTTGATTTAGGGCTTGATTATGGTTGGGTGTGTATTATTTAGCCTAGTTCTTGCTATAATTGTAGAATTAATGGTTGCAAACATTGGTTCAAGCCTATTTAAATTGGTCTATACTTGAGAAAGAGAGACTTAGTCTAGGAAAACTTGGCTAACAAGAGTTTGGGATGAAATCAAGAGATTGATAGTCCCAATTAAAGGGTTGAACCTAGAGATAGTAAAACCCGATTTGAGCAATTTGTCAACTGTTTAGTTCAATACCCATTTGGACTTGAGAAAGCCAAATTGGGCAAAACCACTCTCTTACCGAGAGGTATTGAGTGGGTATTTGAGTGTTGTTTGTTATAATACACCCCGACCAACGAAACTCGCCCTAAAGCCCACAACTCGTTAGGCAAACACCTAGGTGGAAGTCACAACCCTAGATTACATATTTGAAAAACAACAATAAAAACATTCTTCTCTAGTTTCATATTTTTCAATTGCAATCCTTAGTATAATTTTAGAAGTAAAATCAAAAAAATGTTTATGGAAGTGCAACTTAGACAACTCACATGCTTAGACCAAATACATACCACTAATCCCATGTACGCTCCATGTGGATTCAATCCCGACTCCTAGTTGGGTATTATTATTGTAATCGACCGCTTCACAACCCCAATTTGAGGTATGACTTGGTTGAGATCATGTTCCACTCTCGAAAGGATCACATTTCGGGCGCACCACCAGTATTGAAGGGCCCGGACTCGAAGAAGTACACCCAATTGCCATTCAATCCGGGCGCAACACTAGATTTGATTCCGAAACGGTTCAAAATGCCAGACGTACAGAAGTATGATGGGACTTCATACCCTCAGGAGCACATTACAACTTATACAACAACGCTTAAAGGAAACGGCTTGGACCAACATAAGATTAAGTTGGTCATGTTGAAGAAATTCGGAGAAACCCTCACGAATGGGGCGTTGATATGGTATTCGCTTTTACCCGAACATTCAATTGATTCTTTTGAGATGTTCGCAGATTCTTTCATAAAGGCCCATGTCGGGGCCAGGAAGGTCCAGGCCCAGAAGATGGACATATTTAGAATTTCGCAAGGAGAGTCTAAATTATTGCATGATTTCATGGTTAGGTTTCAGAAAGAAAGGATGTTGTTACCGGTCATGCCAGACGAATGTGCAGCTGTGGTATATACTAAGATGTTGAACCCGGGGAACTCCGACGCCTCCCGAAAGCTGAAAGAAAGCTTGTTCAAGTTCTAAGTAACCACATGGGCAGATGTCCATAACCGTTAATCAAAGATAAGGATAAAAGATGATCAGCTCGGGTTCCCGGCATCAACCAAGGGTCGGGATCGAGAAAAGAACAAGGATAAATCTAAGGATGATTTTGATGCAGATCGACGATATTCTAAGGGCCGATTATTGACCTACGAGAGGGCCGAAGTACGCAGTGGCAAAGGATTCCGGTCAGCGAATAGATTCGCCCTCGATAGATGAACTGACCACAGCCGAAACAATAGGTCATTGCAGGACAAAGAGGTATTGGGTTCCCGTTATTCCACTTATCCCAGGATGTCAGAGTATAATTTCAACGTTAGCATAGTGGAGCTGGTATCGGCAATGAGAAACATTAAGGAAGCACAGTTCCTGAGGCAGATTAGATCTGATCCCAACCAGAGGGGTCCTAATTTATGGTGCGAATATCATGGGACTCGTGGCCACCGAATTGGGGATTGTCGACATCTGTGCGAAGAGGTTGCAACGGTGTTGGAGAATGGCCATCTCAGGGAATTCTTAAGCGACCGAGCCAAGAACAATACGGTCGCAGCCGAGACAATGCAGAACTCTCGAAGATAGGGAAAGACCCTCCTCGACTAACTATCAACATGATTTTCGGGGGGAACGAGATCAGCGGTGTAACCTTCTCGGCATCCAAAAATATGAAGGTATCAGTGACTCATAGCAAGAAACTCTGGGAAGTCACCGAAGAAGACATCACCTTTACGTAAGAAGACGTCGATGGACTTCTTCTGTCGCACAACAATGCCCTGGTAATTTCTCTTAACATTCCAGATTTCAAGATTAAACGTGTTTTGGTTGAACCAAGAAGATCAGCCAACATCATTCATTAGAGAGTACTGGAACAGGCAAAACTAACTGGAAGCATCATTCTGGCAACAAAGCTCCTCGTCGGGTTCAACTTAGCAAGTGTGACAACCCGAGGGGAAATCTTGCTGCCCAAAAATGCCGAAGGGGTCACAAAGACCACCTTATTTGAAGTGGTGGATGGCAACATAGGCTACAACATAATTCTCGACAGGCCATGGTTACATGAGATGAAGGTCGTACCATCGACATATCACTAACTACTGAAATTTCCAACTCCTGAGGGAATCAAAAAAATGAGAGGAGATCAACTGGCAGCAAGGGAAATGAACGCAGTATCGATTTCTAGCAGTAAAGAGAAGGAACTCAACACATAGCAATTATAGGAACCGACGCCTACTCTCGAACCAAGCAAAGACGATAAAGGGGAGGAGTAGTCGAAATCCCACCAGGTACCAAGATATGTCCAAGTACCGGAAGAAACAGATGTGACCAAGTCCACGACAGAATAACTCGAACTAGTGGCTTTGTTCGAAAACTTCCTCGAGAGAAACTTTCACTTGGAGACAGGACTCAACTCGGAGCTCAGGTCAGGATTTATCGATTTCCTTAAAACTAACGTTGATTGTTTTGCATGGTCGCACGCGAATATGATAGGTATCCCGCTAGAGGTGGTCGTGCACAAGCTAAGCATGGACCCAAGCATCCCACCGGTAAGGTAAAAGAAGCACCCAATAGCTGAGGTTAGAAACAAGTTTGTTAAAGAAGAGGTAACTCGGTTACTTGACATCGGTTCAATCCGGGAGGTAAAGTATTCTGACTTGCTAGCTAATGTAGTTGTAGTTCCGCAAAAGAATAATAAATTTCGAATGTGCGTAGATTATAAGGACTTGAATAAGGTATGCGCAAAAGACTCATTCCCATTACCCAACATCAATCAAATGATTGACGCCACGACTGGGGACGAGTTAATGAGTTTCCTCGACGCCTATTCCAGGTACAATAAAATTAAGATGAACCTGGAGGATCAGGAAAAAACTTCGTTCATAATGAACTTTGGCACATATTGTTATAATGTGATTCCTTTCGGGCTTAAAAATGCCTGAGCCACTTATTAGAGGCTCTTGAACAAGATTTTCGAAAAACAAACAGGTAAAACAATGGAAGTATACATAGATGATATGTTGGTCAAGTCTTTTAATGTAGGTGACCACTTAAAACACTTCCAGGAAGCCTTCGATATCCTAAGGAAGCATAACATGAAGCTCAACTTCGAAAAATGCGTGTTTGAAGTTAGCTCTAGTAAATTCTTGGGTTTCCTGGTGTCGCAAAGAGGGATTGGGGTAAATATCGATAAGATCAAATCCATCAAGGACATCCCTGACCAGCTGACAAGCGTGAAGAAAGTCCAAAGTCTAACTGGAAGATTGGCTGCTCTAAGCAGGTTCATTTTTTGGTCTTCAGAAAAATGTCATCACTTCTTCTCATTTATGAAGAAGAAGAACAACTTCGAATGGACTCCAGAATTCCAACAGGCCTTAAAAGACCTGAAACGGTATCTATCAATCCCTCCGCTACAATCAAAATTGAAGGAAGGCAAACAGTTGCTGATATACTTAGCGGTCTCGGAGGTAGCGGTAAGTGTCGTTCTAGTTCGGGAGAATGAAGGTACGCAATCTCCTATCTATTATGTTAGCAAAATTTTGTCGGGAGTAAAAACTCATTATCCGCACCTCAAAAAACTGGCCTTAGCTCTCGTAGTCGCCTCTCGAAAGTTTATGCCTTATTTTCAGTGTCACTCTATAGCCGTGGTGACAACTTTTCCCCTGTGGAATTTCCCTCACAAACCTGAGTTGTTAGGTCAATTGGCCAAATGGGCATTTGAAATTAGTAAATTTGATATTGAATATAAGCCTAGGACTGCGATCAAGTCACGGATGTTGGCCGACTTTGTGGCCAATTTCAGTCCCCGGCTACTGCCTTTGGCTGCAAAAGAGGCGGTGATGGTATAAAAAATGACATCAGGAATTTGGACCTTGTTCACGGACAGAGCTTCCAATGTGAAAGGGTTTAGGCTCGGGGTGGTCTTAATCACGCCCTCGGAAGAAACCCTGAGGCAGGACATAAAAATCGTTCCTTTAACTAACAATGAAGTTGAGTATGAGGCACTAATTGCAGGACTTGAATGGGCCCGGGCACTTGACTCCGAGGTCATAAAGATCAATGTGATTCGCAACTAGTAGTAAATCAAGTATATGGAATCTTTGACACAAAGGAGAAACACATGCAACAGTATGTGATTAAAGTTCAAACTTTGCTCAGGCGGTTCAAAGAGTGGTCGATCACCCATATCCCGAGAGAAGAAAACATAGAAGTGGATGCATTGGCCAATTTGGGTTCGTCACGAACATGAAGGGCTTAGATTTCGGTATTGTCATCCAACTTATGCATTCGGTACTGGATGTGGACGGTTATTGCGAAGTAAATATAACCAACCTAGTTTGGGACTAGAGGAATGAGTTCGTAGACTACCTTCAGCATGGAAAGTTTCCCGAAAACCCAAAGGCAACCTGGTCACTTCGCACCAAAGCAACTCGCTACAGCCTCTGGGGGTCAGTTATATAGAAGGTTGTTCCAAGGCCTGTTGGCCCGATATTTAGAAGCCTCGGAGGCAGACTACGTAACACGAGAGGTTGGTGAAGGAATTTGTGGGAATCATTCCGATACAAATTCATTGGTGCTAAATTTAGTCAGAGCAGGATATTATTGCCCCCGAATGGAACAAGACACGAAGGCATTCGTTCAGAAATGCGATAAGTGTCAATGCCATGCATAGTTGGTGCACCAACCGGCAGAACTCTTGCATTTGGTACTGTCCCTATGGTCATTCATGAAATGGGGGATGGATATAGTTGGGCCACTACCAATGGGTCCTGGGAAGGTAAGGTTTCTTTTAATTTTAATCGATTACTTCACTAAATGGGTTGAGACAGGTCCCTACCAAAAGATCGGTGAGTGTGAAGTGGTCGATTTCCTATGAAAAAACATAATTTGCTGGTTCGGAATACCGAAAGAGATTGCCTGTGACAACGGACAACAACACATAGGCTCCAAAATCACAAAATTTCTTGCAGACTTGAAAATTAAAAGAATCACATCTTCACTATACCATCCGAGCGCAAATGGGCAAGCGGAGTCAACCAATAAGGTGATTATTCAAAACCTCAAAAAGAGGTTGGAAACAGCCAAGGGCAAGTGGCCCGAAGAGTTACTGGGAGTACTATTGGCATACCGGACGACGGCCAAGTCGAGCAGGGGGGAAACACATTTTTCTCTCTTATACGGCGCAGAAGCTCTGATCCCAGTGGAAGTAGGAGAACCGGCCTTACGGTACTTTCGAGCGGACGAAGAAGTAAATAATGAGGCATTGCTAGTCAAACTGGAGTTGCTTGACGAACGCAGGGACTTGTCGCATATAAGAATGGTAGCTCAGAAACGAAGGATGGAAAGATACAATAACCGGAGGGCCAATCTCCGCTATTTTATAGTGGAAGACTTGGTTTTGAGGAAAGTTACTTAGAACACCCGGGAGATCAACGCGGGAAAGTTAGGTTTGACATGGGAAGGCCCCTATCGAGTTTCAACTGTCACGGGGAAGGGATCATACAAACTAGAGAATCAATATGGAGTCAAATTACCAAGCAACTGGAACGTGACTCGCCTCAAAAGGTATTACTGCTGATGGATCCTGCTTATACTGTAAGTATGTGCTTCACTCTTTTTCCCTTCGACTAGTTTTTGTCCCAATTGGGTTTTTTGGCAAGGTTTTTAACGAGGCAGCAACGGAAAGCATACAACGGAAGGAGCATCTTCAGCAAAGTAAGACCTTTAAATGACAAGGCACTGAAACAACTAGCCACTAGGGGATGGTTAGATAATCTTTGGCTCGATGGAAAAATTCCTAACTGGAAACAAAGCTTGCCATCGAACCAAAGATTATTCAACCATTCACAAGTATTTTTCCTCAAAGGAGCAAGACTTCCAGTGTTCCAATTCACATTCTTCGCATTCGAACACTTCGGGGGAGGGGGGAATAGTATGAGAATATGACAACTTGATTGCCACGAAAATCGGGACTGCGAAACCCGGGAATAATAATGTCTCATTGGGATCGGAAACTGCACAGCTAGCCCCGTAGAAACAAGTTGTACAAACTAGTCATATGTATTGGAAATTTCTTTTCTTTAAGAAAACGAATGCTTGTGTACTTTTGAAGATAGAAGAAATAAAATGAAGTCTTTTTATTTTAATCTTGTTTCTTGCCCAAACAATGAATTGATTTTATCATTTGAAAGTTAACTAAAAACTTCAAATGCTAGTGCCGGAATGGACAGGAGACGTCCTCTTCAAGAGCACCGTAAAAATAAGAGGGCCCTCTCTTATGAAACCCTCACAGTAAAGGGTTGGTTCCGAAAATGTTTATACCCGAAACCCAAAAGCTATCAGAAGAAAACACACCTGTAGCTTCACTTATTTCAAAGCAAAAAAGAATGAACTTTGCGCAACACTTAAACAAAATATCCTTTTATTTATACATGCCAAAAGACACAAGTACAAAAAAACAAAAGATAAACAACGAAAGAAAAAGAAAGCAAAAAGGCTAAACTTAGTCACCACCAGAACTCGGAGCAAGAGAGGCATATACATCCTCGGGAGAAGTAGGCGGTTCTGCCAGGCGTAGAATCTTGGCC